TACAGCCGTGTTCCGACCTCATTCCTGCACAAATGGTATCAGAGGGGCTTCGAATTCAAACCATGTGCAAATCTCCGAAGCCACTTTTTCGTGCCTTTAACTTCCGGACGACTTTGACATTTATGGGGTTTTAATGAAAAGCTTTCAGAAAGGGTTAAACGAGAGCTCTCAGAACTCTTCACGGCATAGTGGTCGGCAAACTAGTGTACCTATAGCTGCTATAACAAATTCATTATCATAATTCATTCGATTTTCAAAAAAGGCTAATATCGCGATCAAAACAATAAAAAGTACAACAAAAGCAGAGTATTTGAAAGAAATATTAAACGAGAGGAATAAATCTATAGGATCCTCGTTCATTACATGCAGTTATTCTGCTTCATCAAAATAAGGAATGTTCAAATCATGTCACAAAATTTGAGTGGCATTATGAGGCACAAAATCACAACACTGATAAATGACTAGAGATTAAACTATGAAGAGCACTTACAATGGCTGTTAGAGCAGAATTTTTGTGACACATCATATGAGTTCCGGCACAATCACCGGCAAACCATGATCGCTCACTGATATCTTTTGAAGGCATGATTTGAGCTGGTCATTTTTAGAAATTTGTTGCAAGCGGAAATGCTAATTGTACTTCTAAAACGAAAGAGAGTGCCACCAAATGATTCCTTCCACAAGCGTTAGCAACTTCATTCTCAGTAGTGTAATTGTAAAATAGTTAGAAGTCGAAGATGATCAACGGATCTGGTACGGGGTCTTTCTCTGACAGTGTTTTTCCCCATGTCTTCTCATGAAGTTACTGTCCTCTGTTGGCTAATACTGTGATCAGATACCTCTCAGAAGCTGCTCATGATACAAAAGCTCCTATCAAAACATTTGCATAAGCTATTTAGGTGAGAATGAGAGAGCATCACAACCAGCAGGGCGATTCCTCCAGCAATCATGTGTTTTCGATTTCCTACTTTCATGCGCTTTTTTAGGAAGACGATTAGCATTTCTTCTCCCATGAATGAGAACAGCACAAACCTTGCCCGTGAAGAGTCGAAGGCAGTGTGGGGTCATCAGTAACATTTTAGACAAGGAACCATTAACAGCAGTTGAGATAATCAGATTTTCGTCGGATGGTAAGAACTTTTAGAGTAAGAGTTCATTATGTGCTCATCATCGCATCGGAGACTGCTGTATTTCTTGTACTTCGAGTAGTAACAAATCGCTGTCATTCCTGAAAAACAGGATTGTGTCAGGAAGTATTCAGTAAGTAAGGAATATGAGAAGACTCTACTGCTGCTGTTCATAATGCATTGTGCCGACTTTGCGCCGCCTTCTCTACAGGACTCAGCGACGCACTGTTGCTGCACCGGCGCCTATTGCTCACCGAAGAAGATGTCTTCACCATGCTCAACGGCGGAACCGTCTTCTCACAGATCGGCTTCGCCGACGCCTACCTACAGGTCGAAGTTGATGCCGACTCCGAAGCAGCACCTGGCATCTTCCAGCGGATTATCGACTCCATGACCTCTGGACTCAATGGCATTGTCGCTACCTTGATGGCGTCGTCGTCAACGGCACTCTCCGAGCACAACGTCAACCTGGAAGCCCTCTTCTCGAGGATATCCGCATGCGGCTGCCTCCACCGTAACGACACGTGCCACTTCTTGATGTCACAGCTGACCTACGTCCAGAAATGTCATCACCGCTGCCGGACGCCTACCCGATCCTAAGAGGATCGATGACACTACTCAGATGCCAAAACCAAAGGATACCGCCCAGGTCCGCTCTTTCCTCGCTCTCATCAATTATTATGGAGCATTCACTTCAGTGATGCTCCAGCTCCGTGCTCCGCTCGACGCACAAGAAGGATGCTCGTTCAAGTAGAACCCCGAAGGCGACGCTGTTTTCAAACGTGCAAAGGAAGTGCTCGCTTTGGAACTGCTTCTTTTCACTACAATCCGAATCTCTCCATCGTTGTCGCGGCCATAGCTTCAGGTTATTCAATAGGAATTTCCATTTCCAATGACGTATGGTTTTCTCAGGAGCGGCACCAAAAAGTGTGGGCGAAATGGTACGCACTGCCGAACTCCTTTTATCTCCTTGATGAGGACCTTCCCATAAAATGGCGTAATCCTGGAGGCGAAGTTGTCGTAGAGCTCACGAAGCATCCCTATGTATCGAGCAGAAACACCCTTATTGCCCAGGGCTTCAACTACCGCTTCTTTCCTAACAGTGTCAAAGGCCCTCTTTTGATCAGTGAACGTCAGACATAACGGCCTGTCCTGTCTCCTGTACTCTCGCGATAGTTCAATGAGCCTTGTAAGAGTATGGATGCGATAGATTGTACNNNGAACCCTCTCCGAAACCCTGCTTGCTCGCATGACTGTCCTTCATCTGATATTCTTTTGATCCTGCTCACGATGACGCGTGTGAAAAGCCTGAAGATTACAGACAACAGGCAATTTGGGCGAGCCACCAATATCATCGGGATCTCCCTGCCTATGCAGCCACACAGTCTTGCTAGTTCCCACAACGAGGGCACTCCGCATTCCGACAGGTACCGCGTGAAGAGCCTAGCCAGAGTTCTGACGACAACTGATGGAAGACTACTTAGACGTCCCGGTTTGATCCTATCGGGATCGGGCATCGTAAAATTCTTCATCTACGTGATGACATGTCAAATTTGGGAAGGTAGAACCGAAGAAGCGATATATCCGTTTCGTATGCCAGCACGTAGACGTGTCTGTCGAAGAGATCCTACTAGAAGTCGTGGATGATCTTCCCCATTGCCCATAAAGATGCAGAAAGTGTCGGGGTGAAGAAGGGAAGTCGTCTTGGCCATGTGGTTGCCGATACTCCTTCGCGCTTCGCGATTGCTCTTTCCAGCATCGGCGGCTTCGTCCTGCTCTTCTCCCTGTCAGATCTTCCTTTATCACTACTCTGCATTGCTTCGCAAGTTTGCTGATGATTGCCTGTAGCTCTCCCGATTACACGCTGGCGTATCAGCTCAAGAGTCCTTGAAGATAGACGTCCCTCAGCTATTTGTAGACTCTCTGCTTTCTGACGCCATTGTGAGGATGTTCGACGAGCCAGTTGTATTACTCATCGATGTTGTCGATAATGGAATCTTTCCAGAGACTCGCAAAGGAAGCAAAGTGGTCCTTGTCGATGAAGGTCTTCGTTTCCTGAACTTCGCAGCTCCCTTTCTCTGAGAGACAGAATCTAGCGCGGAAGAGACGAGTCGGAACAACAGTTGTTCCAATGTCCTTATATAGGACATATAAACTTTGAATTCTCACTTATATTTCGAATTGAGGCGGCTGTAGGTGTGCAGTTTCGAAAAGGGATTGTATAATACCAAAAAACTCTATTGCTAAACTGTTCGACGGCAAAGAACTCTTTTTTGTTGTTTGCACTAATTAAAGAATATGAGCCATAAGATGGGTTGATCCAAAAAGTAATAAATGGCTTATTGAGTTTCCATAGTACCTTGAGCCACTTCACAACCGAATTAGGCAAGCAGGTTCAATCAATCCGATGGGTGCCATAATGAAAATGGGTGAAATCAGAAACTCTCAAGCACCAAGATTCCGAAATCTTTAGAAAGAACTCACCAATCAATAAAATCGAAAGGGCGACTGCAACAATGAGAATTGCGATTTCAACGGTTTTGAGAAGATCAGATATTTGCTGAAGCGTAGTGTTCAGATTTTCCAGTGTCTGAAACCATTACTTGTTCAATCAGAAGATCTATATCCGTATGAAGTTTCTAAGTGAGCAAGATATTGAAGATCGAAAATTTTAACGGTTATCTAATTCATTCCCTCGTAATAGTGCTAAATTAATATAATTTAAGTGAAAGTACCGAAAACAACATACCACGTCGAGCGACATGCCAAATCGAAAGAAGTGTACTGAGGGCACCCGTTGCGCTGCTGAAACACTTGCATAAGGACGTAGGTTTCGGTCGCCATGGAATACCTGATGAATTCTTCAGGAGCTTTTCTGAGAAGGTATAGATGGAAAGAAGTCTGGTAATGTATAGGGGAGGGATGGAGATCCATAAAAAAGCGATTGGCTCTTCAATATGATATTTTCAAATAAAGGAATGGATGGCTCAGAACGAACATAAATAGCCGTTCCTGCATTTGCTGCGTAAGCTGCATCTCATTAACAATGCCTATTGATCGATTGAGTTTTAAGAATATCGAAGTTGTACGTTGGCCCTTGCTCCAAGCATGATTTCTGGAAAAGGTTTCTCAACCTATCTGCTAGTCACTCTCAGGTCTTGTAAAATAGAGTTAAATCTGTGCAGTCTGGTGAAAACTTATTAACTGAGATGAATGCAGGCATTTGGTGCATAATCCGATGGTGTTTCCACGCATCAGTGCTTTGATATCTGTTAGTATTCCTTCAAATGCTTCCCAGAATACGATCATAGCAGCACCTGTCGTCATTTCCAAGAAACTGAGCGACATGCTGACTCACAGCGTAATATGCTAAAATACGGAATCGTATAGAATTTGGCATCATCTCATATGACAGCTCAAGTAGTTCTTGACTCCAAATGGCTGCTTGAAATATCGCTTCGGACGACTCGTTGTAATGTAACAAAATCACAATACTGCAGTCAAATTCTTATTCTTTCCGACGAATTCCAAAGGTGGTGCTTTCTTCTGCGACAGGCCCAACCCAAATGATTACCTCTATGAACTTTCTGAGTCTAAAAGTCGAAGGCGCAAGCTTGCTCATGTATCTATGCTACTTGTGGAGGTCGTACGCAGTTTAAATGGTTACTGATGACTGGGACCGCAACCCTTCTTTCCGCGTTAAATGGGCCTGACTTTAGCAGTACAGTTATTTTAACGCTATCACTTCAAATGACCTCTTTCTGATCAAGATACTTCATTTAGCCATCGTGGACGGGCTACTTACTTCTCATGACTGCTAGTGGCTTTTCAGCGTGAAGTTCGAAAGACTTTTTACAAACTCGATGCACATCTTTTCTTCAGATGCCGAGAAAGTAAATTCGTTCCCCTTTGCTCTACTGCTTTTGAATTGCGGCGAACTCTGCAAAGGCAACTGAACTGCCTGGAAGATCTTGAAAAGAGCGGAGCTAAGGTAAGGTTGCCAGCAATCAAAACACAGCAACATTGACTAGGGCGATACTTCAAGATCCTGAAGGATAAAGTCTCTAGGGTTGATCAGTCAGTTCATTATGCGATGCGTACATCATTCGACTTCGATTGGAATAGCATCGTTTTGAATGCGTATAGAGTCTGTACACTGGGCAGCCCATGTACAAGTCAGTGCTTTCATCCTACCACAGTCTGGCACCAACTGTTCGAACCCTTAGCAGTGGAAGGCTCGGTTGGCACGGATGTCAAAGTGGGATGTGATCCTCGGCTAGTATGGGCGGGGTATGGTAGTACCACTCATTTGCCACTACGCTACCTCCACGCAGCTCGGAATAGGAATAGAAACTTATCTCTTGTAAGGAAACTACCAAGGAATGGCTGCTATTCTTACTACCGATACATACAGTAGCGCTCAAAAGTCTTCGGTGAAATGCATTGACGCTTTTTCGTTCATAACTTTTTTCGTAGTAGACCAAATCTGGATATGTTTAACTAGAGCATATTTCACTTTACCCAACACTATTGACTGCGAAGTTGCAATATCCACAGATACATAGAGCAAGGTATTTGTTGCGGTAGCAGATTTTGCTAAAACTAAAGTTGTTGACGTCTGCAGTTACTCAAAACTTATGTGCGTTTTTCTAATCTACTATGTTCGGCATTAGCGCTCGTACACTTTGGACATGACGAAAAGGAAAGAATTCCTAGGAGGACCAATGTTTGTATTTCCAGTTGATTTTGATTTCAAGCTCTTTGGGATATCAGGAACATGACCAGATGGCAAGTTAATAGTGGTATATATTCACAATACACCCATGCTACACATATCGAAATTTCGCGTGATTAGATCCAGTAGGAAAGAGGTTACTACTGAAAGGTACGGCTGAAGAACCATTTCACCGAAGACTTTTGAGCGCTACTGTAGCTGCATTTATTGGATATCCTTTCTATCAAGTAATCAACCGATGCAACACCTCTGAATGCCATCTTTGAAAAGCTGCAGTGACAAATAGAACAAATCTTAGTTATACAGAATACAAAGTATGCTTCTGCATTGAATGGTCCACCTAGTCACAAGCTTCAACATTCACTTGTTCTTCGAGAATGAAATTTTTTCGTGCGACAGTCCCGAAGAAGTGCATCTGTGAAATAATCGTGTCATGCACCTTTCAAAAAAAGCTTATATCACTGGTGCCGGACAAAAAGGTGACAGCGCTTTGATAAAAATAAAGCTCCTACAAGAACGTTAGGTCTCTACCCTCTACCAAATATTCCAACATAACAGGCTTTATAAAAAGTTTACGCGAAACTCGAAGTCGATGGGGAGTCACAAGGAATAAAACAGCTGAGCATAGTATTATGCAATGGATGTGTAGGAAGGAGACTAAAAGATTTTCAAGCGATTACGACCAAAATCTAAATGGAACACAAACGCAGGGGCGATCGATGGAAGAAGTGTGAAGATAAGCATCGCCTTACTTTGCTCATATGCACGATGTCTTTTAGGATCTATTCTAGGTCTTTAGTTCGCAAGAGTCTTAGTCTCGGCCTTTCTCTGCAGTTTGAAATGCACAATTCAGTCAATTGACTCCAAATCAGAAGTTCAAGGAGTCCGAAAAGTGTACCGCCCTAGTAAGAGATTTTTTAAATGAGATGATGGATTCGATTTTTCTGGTAAGTGCTTTAGGCTAGTTTTTGCCACTTGTAGCGTAGTTCATGCGAAGACTACTCCCTCATGAGCAAAGCTAGTCTACCGGCTGGCTAGAAGACTTTAACCACTGAGTGGTCTTCTGCCTGTCCTATGAGAATATCAAGGACAAATAACTCGACCAATTTCCTCTGCCACTGAGAACGAAGTGAGGCGCAACTCTGAATGTTGTTTGTTGCAAATGCATCATTCTATTCATTTCATTCATTCCATTCATTCATTCTCATTCTCTGACGTGATTTGGAGAAGTAAAGCCGATTCAGCATCAGAAAAGAGAAGCCGAGAGTTGTAGAATTCTAGTAGATTTACTGGTAGAATAGAATGTTCTTCACGAATACAAGATGACTGGGAGATCTACAGGATTGAAAAATGAGCTGAAGTGAAATGGAGCTATGCAAAATAAGGGAATTCGGCCGCAAAAAGTGGAATGGCCAAAGGTAGGAGCTGTTAAAGTTGGGAGATATTATGATAAAGTAATTGCAAAACAGCTATGCTTTAAAAAAAGAACAGAATGTGTATGCTATCTTATTCAGGCTAACATGATGGCAAAGCAGGAGAAAAAAGTTCTTGAGATTGGTCAGTCCGTTTTTGCCTTGTAATGGCTTCCGGTTCTAATCGTTTGAGGGCCCACACCCCTCCATTCAATTCTTGAATGTTAGAGGCAACTTTAACATTATATGACCTCTAATTTCGAACTGTTAATGATTCTCCACTAATGTGGATGTTTTCTCATTCATTTGGGTAGTAGGCCAGGAAGTAGAGTAAAATGTGCCAGTATCAGGTATAGGCTTTGTTTAAGGTCCAGCATCGATCGGCCTTATTCAGATCCATCTCGCATTTGGTACACATTAGAAATTGCTTTGATGAGTGCATAGCTTATAGAATGCCTCTTGCCAACTTGACCTATTTTGAATTCTGGCGTATCTTGAATGAAAACGATTTCTGAATTAGTCCCCGGCCGCCCAAGGACGGAGGCTTTGACTGGTTAGGTCCGATAAGGTGTCCGAATGAATGGTGCGTGCTCGTCCACCCATTCGGAGCCAAGCACTGTCCTTGGAATGTGGCATGATGTTCACCTTCGAAATTCGTTCTTTCTCAGTTGAGAATAATATAAACTTTCTCCCTGATCCTCATAGCGGCCATACAATCCCTACGATCCTTCATAAAAAGTAACGGATGTGAAGTCGACTATGTTCGCTCTTAATGTTTCAACTCCTAATGGGTGGAGCTGACTAACCTGTGTAGGTAGGCGAAAGCAGCGGAAGTATTAGAGAAAAAGTGCTGGGTTGACCATTGACTTATCTCCAGTCGAATTTTTTCCTTCACCTTTCTAGTCGATAAGCGGGCGCCACGGAAATCATTGCCTACACTTCGAAATTCACTATAGGGTAAATCTCTGTCAATGTTAAGAGTTGTCTAATCACTTTGAAGTCGTGGTAAAATATGTAATTAATCAGTCGAATAGGTCGACCCTAACGATCGTGCACACCAATGTTCTACACCCAGTGCTCACTAACGTGCCTTCCCCCCGTCCCCTGCATCAAGTGTATCCGCAAAAAATGCTTTTTAGTCTGAAAACTGTCTTCTAATGGTGAGATTTTGCTTGGCCTGCTGATGGAAAGGAAGAAGATCGGTGTTTTTGAATAACTAATTGATAATATCTATAAGAGGACATGAAAGAAAAAAGTAAAGAAAAAAAGAAGAAATGAAACAGTGTTCACTTAAGATTGTCTATTTCTTTCATGATTAACGAAAAACTTTTGGAGATTCAGCAAATGGGGATCTTTTAGGGAGCGAATAGAAATATATGAGCTACATAGCAGGTAACATTTACTGTGTTCCGCTAACACTAAAACGACATAACTAACGAATCACGCTTCAGACAAAACCGGTATACCTCCCTCCGTTCCTCTGAGTTCCAACTGTTAGTGTTTTGACATTAAGTACGTGCCCACTCCATAATTGCATATGAACACTTCAACACAAGGCAAGCACTGTTTGTTTTCATAGCACATCGCTTCTATGCTTGCACTCCGAGAGAGTGGAAGGAACAAAAAAATGTAAAGCAGCGCTTTTCAAACGAATGTAGTACCTATGCGACCAACCTCTTGGAAAGACCCTATTGAAAACAAAAGACCATCTTCCCTCTCGAGGAATGTCATGACAGTACGGATGGCGAATTCTCAAGGATTATGCTGGGATGGCGTAAGAGTCATTCAAAAGTAAGATGAGTATAGTGGGCCAGAGGCTACAGGAGTCTGGTTGCTTCAACAATGGAAATAACGTCAATGTGGCCAAGGTACTGCGGTTGATGCTTGTTCAAGCCAACCAAGCCTTTCATTTCATCAAGGTCGGCTGATCAGTACCAAAGGCGTCTATGAGGGTAAAGCTTTAACTAGTCATCATTGATCAAAAGATTTGTCGGACTGACGTTACTGTTGTTCGAGATGCTACAGGGGCTCGGACCAACTTCTCCTCCGCGCTAATTTCTGCTTTTCAGTGCATGAAAGGAGGTGCGAAATTCGGAAAACGAAACTCTAGACCGTCTTCGTTTGGAGTACTTCGACTCTCTGGCGAGGATATAGGATGACTTCGTATTCGACATTGTTGGTCAAAAATACAATCGGGCTCGTTGTCGTGTCCCTTCGAAGATCCCGAAGGTGATACGCCAGCGTGGAATCGATCTCGAGCTGCATGCACTCATCAACTAAGATACGAACATGCGAAGCTATGCAAAGAAGCAACAGGAAGAATCTGTGAAGAGATGAGAAGCAGATCTAGCTCAATCCGCAAAGACCAGGATGTTTTGTCTTCGTCGTCGTGACGGATCTGATGTTTTGTCTCGAAAGGCAATGGAGAAGGTCATTAGGGCCACGGGTTCATCCTGGGGAGAAATCTCAGAAACTATTCTTACGTGAACTGTGTCTTTGGAGGCGGAACATAAATCGAATAAAATTAAAACATGAAAGCCTAGGCGCTATAATAACACTTATGGTACCGATATGTGATTCACTGATAATCGAACATTGCCTCATCTGATCAACACTTGTTTCAAGTCGAAGGAAGATTTGTGGCAGATAAACAGTACCGCTTCCTTCCTTCTCAAGGAAATGCAGGAGGCGTGAATGATTTCACCTGCAGAGGTTTTCTTTCCAAAATGCAATCATGTAATCTATTTCGCTATATTATGATACGACTGTTTTTGGAAAATGCATATCCACCTGCTGTTTATAACAGAAGTTACCCGACTCGGTAATGGTCATTGAGGTTGAATTGGCATGAGTCCTTGAGCATCTTAAGTTATGCTGAGAACAGAGGAATGATCAGCTTGAGGATGGCTGGTAGTAGATAAACGGCAATGGAAAATTTGAGCTCAACAGTTTGTGGAGAACAAAATTAAAAAGTTTACAAAATAAATCAATACGATTATGCTAAGAATTCAGTATTACGGTAGAGAGTGGAGGTAATATTGTGAAACGAGCAAGTCGTTCGGAAAACATAATAGCTGGCAGGCAACCTGATAAGGACAGATAAGGTAATATTATGATGGAGCAACAAGGAGACCGCGGCAGCTGGAAATCGACTTCTGATAGGGAGAGGAACAGCTCAAATTCATTCGCAAATAGTACCCGACCATTTTCATCGGTTGACTGTGCCTAACCCAATGTACTGAAGTGTTTATCATGCTCACTTACACCAAATCCCGTAAGATGATGACGATCTCTCCATTTTGTGACCGCGCAGATATTTATGGTGGTATAAATAAAGTGCAATATTTATTTTGGGAAAGCTGACAGCTTGATTTGCCCTGTTATCATCATTAGTGCATTCTGGCAATGTAGATAGAAAATATTAGTAAGTTGGTGAGAGAGGGCAAATTTCAAGCCAGAAATTGCAAAATTCTGAGGTGCAGCGCAATTCCGAAGAGCATAGGCACGCTTCGAAGTAGCTCTACGCATAACCGAATTAGAAATGAGATGGACAATAACTGGAAAAAAACAGAGGTTTTCGGATGTAGAGTATCATTCAGGAACGCCTTAGACAAATCTTCAAGCTAATTCCTTTTTGGGAAAAGGAGTTTATTTCAGTAGGTAATGTTGATTGAACTGATCGATTTTTATGGCAAATAAATTTTCATATCAACTTTACTCAAGTGAAAAGAAAGATCAATGTGGTTCGTAACAGACATCCAGAGCTATGTACAGGTGACTTGACTAACATTCTCACGAGGACTTTTTCTTTGTTCTAGTCATAAGCTTCGAACTTGGTTGAGATGGCATCAAAGTATTGGTAAAAAGGTGCATTTTGCCTGCCACTCAGAATTTCACCGTCACTGAAGCGACAGTTGGTCCGCAACTGCTGGTATTATCGCATTAATTTCTACATGTAATTCATCCTGATAGGTGAGAGGGCTATAATTCAACGCATCAGGTGTGATATACCTGTCAACACTTCTGATGACGCCCTCTTGGCCGCTGTCCTAAGCCGAGCAATATTCGAGGTTTCCCTAGGGACTTGAGTATAAGAACCCCTAACATCGGCGAGGGAAAGAAATGAGGCTTTCAGCTTACGGTGGGCCCTACTTAAAATGAACTACGCCCAGCCTTGTAAACGAACCAACTTTGTTCCATTTACTAAATTAGTTTCGGTCGCCATTCAGTTGAGCCTGGATAAACTAAATGAAGCTCACCTTTGTACTGAAAATCAATTGAGTGATACTTGACACCTAACGTCATGCATGCATAGAGCACATGGCTCTTTACATCGGGGAGTGAAAAGAAGCGTCCATTTTTTCCAAAATGGCATAAATTTAAGGGCGGCATTCACAAGAGTCCCAAGAAGATTCTCAGAAGGCAAACCTCATCCACCTGAATTTTCTTAGATCTCTGTTGTAGATTCGCAAGAATACTCGATGAGTAGGGCATGCAAAAATTTGCTCGACCACTATTTCCAGTAGATTCGAGGTTATAACAGCCGAGTCCTCCAAAAGCACTACAGTGGGGTATTGCATGGACGTCTCACCCAAAGAGAAACAATTTGTCAAAGCTTCATGTCAGTGAAAGAAGAAATCAATAGACACTCAAGAAACATATGTTTCGCCTTGTTCTGAGCAGCAGGTGGGTGTTCCGTCCTCCGAAATGCGAATCTTCGCCGATGAGTAATCAGAACAGCAGTGTTGACAACATTCTGTTGGACACCAGCGAAGGATAGCTCATCAGCGTTGCCGTTCAGAACCATTGTCTTTTGTAGCCTTTTTCAAAGAAAAGTTGAATAGATATCAGCTGATGCGATACGAGTCATAACAGCAAATAGTCCCAGAGTACATTTTTCACGTATGTAATAAGATGAAGACGGGAAATTATAATGTAGTCGATAGAGTCGAAGCGTTGTATGACTCGTATGAGCGAACATCGAGATAGTAAGAGGCTGAACAGTAGCACGCTGAACAGGAGATAAAAGCTCAACAGGATATTCCTTTTCACCCCAAGGTAGCGTACTTATTGAAAGTTCGTCGTTATTCGATCTGCGGTCAGTAGCCTGGAGTCGTTGTTTTGACCCGAGTACAGTCTAGATGCTAGAGATACAAGTGATGAACAAC